TCTTTTTGGTAATTTGAGTGGGTGATTATTGAGCATAAACTCATAGATGACAGCATTGCATTGCAGTGTCAAAATGTTGGACATGCCTGGCTAACAGTTATATGAAGAGAATAAATGGGAGGAAATAAGAGAGGCCGAAGTTTCGCTACCCATCATGCCTCTCTTCGGCCTTCCCTCAGCCAACATCCCCTGGTCCCACCCCAGGCTGGGAACTGGAGACACAGAGCTGTGTGAGAGGCTGTGTGAGAGGCAGAGCAGAAGGGGCAGATGTGTGGAGACAGGAGGAGACAGAGAGAAATGAAGAAGCGGTTGGGAGCAGGGGAGGGAGGATACACCAAGAGGACCCTGAGGTACCATCTATCCAGACAGTTTCTTGGGTACTGGTGACGCCTTCACTCCGGTGAGGAGAAAGCGACTTCGGGTGCATGCTGCCTCCCCTTAAAGCTGAGCGTTCCAATATGAATCTTAGAATAAAGGGGAGACCCTGTTGGCCACAGGAATGAATCCCGCAAAAGCCTCCGGAACCTGGTTGTGACCAGCCTTGGAGTGTGTTCCCAAACAGCCCCCTTCTTCTCCAGTTAGGCCCTTTCATCTGCAAGTGACAGCCAGGGTGGCAGGCTGCGTCCCCACAGGCCCTGAATGCTTGGTGACATCCCAGCCTAGGCCTGCTGGGAGCTTTGCACAAAGGCCCTGGAGGCAGGGCCTGCCACCCTGCCCGGGCAGCTGCCCGCTCCACTCCTCTCTCCTGGGCCTGCTGCTGAACTGTGCCACCCAGGAGAGCCACCCGGACAAATCCATTCGTTCCGCCACCTCCACAAAAGCCAGTCTGGCCTAAGTTAACCTAAACAGGGAATTGTTTAATTGTGCCTAGCAGTGGCCATCAAAATGCCATGGTGCTGGTTCAGCCTCGGGTCTGGACATAGCTTGGGTTATTTCCCACTTGGGCCTCCTTTCCTGTGCCCCACAGCCAGCCTGCTGTGGCCTGGCAAGAGCCCCCAGTTTCTCTGTGGGAGAAAATTGGGTCTTCTGACGCTGCAGCAGAGAGACACGGCACTATGCATGCTGATGGGGTTCCGATCCCCACAAACTCTCTCTCCCTAAGAACAGACACATCCACGGAGGCCACCCAGGATGCTGAGAGGCCCCCAAACGCCCGGGTTTAATTACTCTGTGTGGCTGGTGCGCAGGTTCTCAGAGGCCAGCAGCTACACACAGGGCACAAGAAGGAGATAAAGATGAGAGTCTGGGTTACAGTAACTGGAGATGGTGAGGCATCCTCACGCAGAGGTCAAGGAGGCAGCTGGCCACACACCCGAGTACAGATGCCACAGGCATGGGCCTAGAGACACCCCATAAGCTTTCAATTCCATGCAGGTGCAAGTAGCCTTTTCTTGTGGTGGTACTGGACTTGGGACCTTACCAGACAAACACTTTAACATAGTTTGTCTGAAATTGCAACACAAACTCTGACCTCAAAGCCTGTGTCCTGAAGACCAGGCTCTTTGATAGAAGTCTTTGATAGAAGTTTCTGTCCTAAACACAGAGCTATGGGATGGAATGCGTTTGCCTTGTTTTGTGGTTGTTTTTTCTTTTTTCTTCTTTTTTTTGGGGGGGGGGCGGGGGGGGGTTTCCGAGACAGGGTTTCTCTGTGTAGCTTTGGAGCCTATCCTGGATCTCGCTCTGTAGCCCAGACTGGCCTCGAACTCACAGAGATCCACCTGGCTCCGCCTCCTGAGTGCTGGGATTGAAGGTGTGCGCCACCACCACCCAGCTCTCTCTCTTCTTCTTCTTCTTCTTCTTTTTTTTTTTTTTTTTTTTTTTTTTTTTTTTTTTTTTTTTATAGCATCTCATGTAGTCCAGACTAGCCTCAAACTCAATGTGGCTGTGGGTAACTTTGAACTCCTGATCCTCCTGCACCCTCTTCCCAAATGCTGGATTGTAGGCCTTGGCCACCATGCCTGGTTTAGTCGGTGCTATGGATCAAGCCCAGGGCTTCATGCATGCTAGGCAAGCACTCTACCAACTGAGCAACAGTCTCAGCCCTTTGTGTCTTCAATCCTTAAGTTCCCTTCAGCCATTCTGACCTGAAACCCTCAGCCCATGAGTCTAGGAAGAAATTTATTCTCTCCTCACTCACTGCAAAGGTCTCATTATCCAACATGGCCCAATGGGACCCTTCTCATCCAGAAGAACATCCCTCCCTCCTTGTCTCTCAGAATCCTTCTCTCCTCCTGATTCAGAGCACCCCTTCACAAAAGCCAGAAGTACAGTCCGAGCCAGGGCCGGGGCTGCTTCTCTGCCCTGTCCTGACGCCTCTGTCTGGGATGTACCATGAGCGCCTGCTCAGTCAGGAAGAAGGGAAAAGGAAGCACATTGTATTGGTTACTTTCTTCATGCCTGACAGAAGCAACTCAAGGAAGGGCAGGCTTGTTTTGGCTCACAGTTTGGGGTACAGTCCATGACATCAAGAAAGATGTGGTGACCGGAATTTGAGGCGGCTGGTCACCCTGCATCCGCAGTCAGGGAACAGAGGGATGAACGCTGGCGCTCAGCTCACTTTCTCCTTTCTGTACAGTCTGGAATCCCAGCCCATGGGATGGTGCCGCTCACAGATAGGGAGAGTCTTCCTGCCTCAGCCAACTCCGTCTAGAAACTCCCTCGGTCAGGCTCAAAGTTTTAACACCCGAGTGGCTCCAGAGACTGTCAAATTGACAGCCAGCACTCACCGTCACATACACAAATTCTAATTCTGCCATGAACTGCTCTCCCTAGGCTAGACTTGATTAATGGCCAGGCTCTGCATCTCCCCTTGGTACTTCTGAGAATTCTGGAGTTTTGGGGCTGACTCTGCAGTAATGGCAATGCCTTGAAAGGCGGTCACACCCTGTCCCTCAGTGGCCTCCCAGCGCCATCATGGAACCTGCCATGCACTGAGCAGGCAAGGCAGACAGATACAAAATGCTGTGGTGAATAGTTCCATGTCAACTTGATACAAGCTAGAGTCACCCATCAGGGAGGAGGGAGCCTCAGTTGAGAAAATGCCTCCATAAGACTGAGCTATGGACAAGCTTATGGGACATTTTATTTCTTTGGGGAGGGGGGTGTTCCACACAGGGCTTCTCTGTATAGCCCTGGCTATCCTGAAACTCACTCTGTAGACCAGGCTGGCCTTGAACTTACAGAGATCCACCTGCTTCTGCCTCCCAAGTGCTGAGATTAAAAGTGTGTGCCACCACTGACTGATTTGGGGGTTTTCTTAATTAGTGACTGGTGAGAGAGAGCCCAGCCCATTGTGGGTGGTGCCACCCTGAGCTGATAGGTCCTGGGTTCAATAAGAAAGTAGGCTGAGAAAGTCATAAGGACCAAGCCGGTAAGGAGCACTCTTCCGTGGTCTCAGCATCAGCTCCCGCCTCCAGGGTCCTGCCCTGTTTGAGTTCCTGTCCTGACTTCCTTTAATGATGAACAGGGATGTGGAAGCATTGAGCCAAATAAACCCTTTCCTCTCCAGCCTGCTTTTGGTCATGATGTTTCATCATAGCAATAGTAACCCTAAGTAGGACAAATGTCACTTGCAAAATTCAACCAAGGGGCTAGAGACATGGCTCAGCAGTCAACAGGGCTTACTGCTTTTGTGGAGGATCAGAATTCAGCTACTGGTACCTACATCAGGCTGCTTTCAGCTGCCTATAACCCCAGGCTCCAGGGGATCCGATGTCCTCTCCTGGTCTCTGTAAGCTCTTGCACACATGTGTGCATATATTCACACAGACACACATATACACATAAATAAACATTTTTGATTTTGATTTTGTTTCAGGTTGGGTTTTCATTTGTTTTGTTTTGCTTTGTTCAAGACAAATTCTCACTATGTAGAACAGGTCAGCCTGGTCCTCGCAGAGATCCATCACCTCTGCCTCTAGAGTGCTGGAATTAAAGGTGCACAGCTCAGCTAAAAAAGAAAGAAAAGAAGCCAGGCAGTAGTGGCACACGCCTTTGATCCCAGCACTTGGGAGGCAGAGACAGGCAGATCTCTGTGAGTTCAAGGCCAACCTGGTCTACAGAGCGAGTTCCAGGACAGGGTGGTTATATAGAGAAACCTTGTCTCAAAAAGGAAAAAGAAAAAACAAAGGAAAGAAAGAAGAGAAGAATTAATTCATCAACAAATACATATAGCTTTCTGTCTATGCGGAGCAGTCAGACTTAAGGGAAGTGGACAGGAAGGCGGAGCCCCGTGCAGAGGGCCACGGGCGATGTTTGCAGTGTATTCTGTAAGCGCCTCAGACCCCACTGTCACACACCACCGAATGTGAGGACCTCAGATCAGGGCACAAGGCTGGCCTGTGACTTGGAGCCTTCTTTTGATATTCAGATCTTTCCGGCCTGGGGACTGACAAGGGTGGAGGGCAATATAAATTGAGAGAGGCTTCAACCCGTGGAAGGAGGCCTGGATGAGCAGAGAACACGCAGTGATATGCCTGTGGCCCACTCTAAAGCACACACGCGTGTGAGCAGCCCCCGGGGCTGAAGGATGGAGGCTCAAGTGAGCTGTGGAAAGAAGTGAAAGGGACATCGTGATGCCTGTGTGGTGCCTGTGATTGCCAAATTTATCCGGGAATATCCTGACCGTGACAGTATTCGTTTTTGGGGGGCTTTTGTGAGAAAACTCTCACCTTCAGCCTTGTCTTCCTCTCAAGTCTGCAGTTGGTCCCAGGAGTAACTCTTAGCTTGGAGAGGGCCTAGGGATGAGTACATGAATCGCAGAGTGGGTGAAGAGGGTGAAGCATGGCCTAGAAGAGCAAAGGCAGGGAGGGAGTGGCCGAGGGGGCGGGGTCGCTCCACCATCCCCTTCCACTGGTCTCAGGCAGGGTGCTCTGTGGGTATGGGTGAGTGGGCTTAGTCAGCTCCGCTGGTGTGGGGAGCTGGCAGCCAGAGGATATATGCATTTGCATGTATACACTGGCTTTCCTTCTCAATGAAGCCATCCTTGTTTTCCTGTCTAGGTCCCCCTGGACGGCGTGGCAAACCTGGACGCAGAGGTGACCCAGGTGAGTCCAGTTTTCTTAATTCCTAAGCCTTAGCTGAGAGACACACCGCGGACCCTGGGCCCAGCCAGAGGCGCCAACCACCTGCTTCCTGGTCCTGGGTCATGTCTTCCTTCTTAAATGCCAGCAACTACCTCTGGGCCACCATACCTCATATCGCCTTTTCTTGGCTTCTTGGCATCTACAATTCCCAAACTAGCCCTCTATGTCTCCCGCCTCCCTCTTCATCTGTCAGCGTTAGAAACTCAATTCCTGATCACCCATTCATAAACAGCCCCTCTGTGACAGCAGGCAGAAATCTTGCCAGCTCTCTGTCATGGGACCGCCACAGGACACAGGTCCCCTGTAGATCTCAGCGCCCTCCCAGACCCTGCTCATCCTACCTTCAGCAGAAACAAAGGTTTTCACCACCTTCCTCCAGGCAAACCCCAGGCTCCCCTGTCCCCCCTCCCCACACCTCCACCCCACCCCCACTGCCTTCATTGCATCCTAAATGAACTTACTCTGCAGGGTCCCTCATAGTTTGCCCTCTCCCCCGAAACCTTGACCACTGTTCCCCAAGAATCATCTACTCCTTCTGTCTCCCCTTCTCACATCTGTGACATCAAATTGGCCAAAGTAACTAATGGCAACATGGCTATAGCAAGACATGTCTTTGTCTTCCTTCCTTCTCTATACTTCTCCCTCCCTTCCTCCCTCTCTCCCTCCCTCCCTTCCTTCCTTCCTTCCTTCCTCCCTTCCTTCTGTCTCTCCCTCTTTTTCTTCCTCCCTCCCTCCTTTCTTTCTTAGTCATCAATCAGGAAAAAAAATCAGGGAACCAGAGAGATGACTTCAATGGCACCTGCTGCTCTTAGAAAGGACCGAAGTTTGGTTCCCAACACCTACACTGTATGGCTAAGAACCGCATGTCTCCAGCTTCAGGGGATCTAATGCCCTCTTCTGGCGTCTGTGGGTACTACACTCACATGTACATACCTTCACACACACACACACACACACACACACACACACACACACATTTTTAAACCAATTTAAACACTGACGTGCCCACATCCCCTTTGGTAATCATTTGTACTGGCTTGAGAATACAGGCCATGTGCTATGGGTGGATGTTAATAATCTCAGCTCAGCTGAATGCACTTGAGGCAATTATGTACATAAGAGAAACATTCAGAGCTGTGGGTGAGATTGGGGCAAAATCTGTGCGTCAGATGACACATTTGCTGCCTAAGGACTGGAGAGTTCTATTTTTAAGTGTGATAGATTGATTATGGATAGGCAGTTGGAGTTCATTCCCCCTGCATGTCTGAAGCTGCTTCAAGAAAGTGCTTCCTGGCTCTGTTTTCTGAGCTAATGATCCCATGAGCATGCATAAACAGCTGAGAGGGTACACAACTGCTCACTCCTCACTGCCTTTGTCTTTCTGGACCCTCACTGGGGGCCCCTCCCGACCCTGAGTATTTTCTGGCTCTCTCCAGCCAGTTTCCACACACACACACATTGCATACACGTCACTGACCTTGACAACTCAGTCTCCTCATTTGGGTTCCACTTGCCTCTCAGATGAGTCTGCCCTTGAACACAACATCACCCCGTCTCCTCCCCAGGGTTCCCCACCACAGGAAGGTAACATCCAGCCATTTGCTTCCTCTGCGGTGCCCCTGATCATTCCCTTCCCCTCTTCACTTTATCTCATACTTCTGCTGCCTTCTCTGTCCTCGGAGCCACAGCCTCCTATAGCTCACACCACCTACCCTGTCCCCCACATACAGCCTCCCTGTGGCTGTCCAGGGCCTTGTGACCTCTGAACCTTCAAGTCTTCCCCTGGTCCAGATGTGTTTTTCTCTACCTGAGCTCTTTTACTGTATGTTCATTTCTCTTTGTCCTCAAAACTCAAGCTCAGGTGGCTCCTCTAAGAAAGGATTCTGAGCCGGGCGGTGGTGGCACATGCCTTTAATGCCAGCACTTGGGAGGCAGAGGCAGGCAGATCTCTGTGAGTTTGAGGTCAGCTTGGTCTACAGTTCCAGGACAGCCTGGTCTTCAGAGTGGGTTCCAGGACGGCCAGGGCTACACAGAGAAACCCTGTCTCAAAAAAAACAAAAACAAAAAGAAAGAAAGAAAGAAAGAAAGAAAGAAAGAAAGAAAGAAAGAAAGAAAGAAAGAAAGAAAGAAAGCATTCTGTAACCCCATGGCTGGGGCTACACCCACCTCCAGCATCTGGCATGTAAATACATGCAAGGGCTAGTGAATGTACAATCATCTCTTAAACAACATCACAGACAGGGCACAGTTTTGAGGAGCCATGAGGCCAGAGGGCTCATGTAAATGAACGTTTCCTGTCCCAACTGCCTGGTGTCAAATAACCGACTCAGAGGCTGAATATGAATTATAAATGCTCAGCCAATAGCTCAGACTTGTTACTAGCTAACTCTTACATTTAAATTGACCCATTTCTAATAATCTATGTATTGCCACATGGCTCATGGCTTTACCTGTCCTCTAGCATGTCTTGCTTCCTGGGTGGCTGGCTGGTGTCTCCTCCTCAACTCTCCTGACTCTGCCCTTCCTCCTCCCATCCTTCTCTCTGCATCAGGCTGTCTTGCCCAATCTCTTCTTGCCCTGCTCTGAGCCAATCAGGTTTTTTTTATTAACAATGAGCATAATCCACAACATTTCTCCCTTTTTGTCTAATTAAAAAAGGTTTTATACTTAACATAGTAAAATTATATACAACAAAAACAGTTATTAAGTAATAATTACAGTAATAATATCTAATCCATTTGTGTTTGGCAAAATTAGAGAAAATACTTAATTATCTATCTTGTCTTGGTGAGTCTAAAGTTTTATATCTAATTTACTTTCTATTATAACTAAGGAAAACTGTAATTATAACTATTTAGTCCTTAACTCCATCAAAGAACCCAGAAGGATAAAATGTTACCTAATGACAAGGACATCAGGCTGCCTGGACAGTCACCCAAAGTTTCTCTGCAATGTTAGGGCATCCAGTTCTGGCCTACAGGCCCAGCATATCTGACAGACTTTCTTATGAAGCAGGGAATTCTGAAAGACTGTCCTACCTTGTCTTGGCAAAGTTTGTCAATCACCTTTCTTGTGTCCTGCTGGTCCAGTTTGGACAGTATAATGTTAGCAATTGAGGCAAGGGCAGTTTCTTTGCCCACATGGCTAGCTTTTGCCACAAAGAAATCAAACTGGAGTTTTTTCAATGCCCATCATCTTCTCTGAAGTAGATTGGTGCTGCCAGGAGCAGATGTGTCTCACTATGAAAGGACTTGGATTATTAAACATATTAAATGCCATATTTTATAGGTCTTTGAAGTGTTTGAAGACTATCCATCTACCCAAATATATCTGTATATGACCTTGAAAACATACTATTTTGTCTATTTTAGATGACTGTTAATCTGTATTTCTTAAGTATACATTACATTTTTTAAATGAGCTGCATAGGCACAATACCCCAGAGTAGAAATATATATATACAGTATAACAAAATTAACTTTAAATATGTTCAATAAACCAAAATCCATACCAATGCAAAATATTTAAGATTAGTAATTGTTTTTTAATTAAAGTAGATTCAATAATCTACCCTTTTACTCTACCATTTCTATGTCCCCCCTTTTTTCTTTTTAGAATGAGATCCCTGAATCTAATCTCTTTTGTTCAGCTTTTTTCCTGACCATTACCAATAACAACTTGTAACCAACCTCCCTTATATGATAATAAATATCCTTAAACCATTTTTGGGAGGATGTGGGTGTAGTTCTCTAAGCTACTTCCTGTTTATTGGGGGCACTTGTAATTTTGGGGGGACCCTGAGAAAATTTAGGATAATTGTTAGGTCTTGGCTGTAGTAATCTGTGAGGCTGGATCATCTCAATCAGCAGCCTGGAAGCTGTTCTGGATGCTGGATCGCCTGATCCATCTCTTTTTATTGGTGTGGTCCCCTTTCAGAAAATATATAAACTTTTAAAGGCAACATACATATCTGTATTAGTACAAATATAGACTGTATTTAAGTCTATATGCACTGTATATAAGTCAGCCAAAGATGATTTTTTGTTTTATGTTTGAGCAGGTAAAACACACATCATGTGTCTTGTAGTTCTTTTAGGTTTATTTCTTTATGTTTATACCCAGATTTTTGTCAGGGATTCTTTCTCAATCAAACCTGATTTTGCTTAATCCAGAATGAATACTTAGCCTCTCTTTTCCTGTGAAAATAAAAGCATAACCTCTCCCCCAAAGTAACATATCTTTTGACTTACATTTTGAAGCCAAGTTGTTTTTAAAATATATAGGTTGGTTTAATCCAATGTCTCTTAGCAGCCAAAAAAAAATTCAAAGACAACACAATAATATACAGGATTCAGACTTTCTGTGTATTTCCCATCCTAACAAGGCTTATTTCTTTTATATTACTTTACTCCCTTCTTAAGGACTTTACTTTATAATTTTAAAACTATATTTTTTAAATCTAAGACTATCTATACTCTTCCTCTTCTCTCTCCCAAGTCTATGCACATTTTCAAACACACTGTGACTCATATAGAGGCTCTTTTTGTCTGAATCTGCCCTTACTGTGTGTTTATAACCTTTTCTGTCTGCATGAGGAAAAAAAAAAAATGCCGTGGCACACACCTTTAATCCCAGCACTTGGGAGGCAGAGGCAGGCAGATCTTTGTGAGTTCGAGGCTATCCTGGTCTACAGAGTGAGTTCCAGGACAGGCACCAAAACTACACAGAGAAACCCCGTCTCAAAAAACCAAAAAACAAAACTGCTGTGTAACTTAAATCATGGCATGTTGGCAGCTAGCTCCTCCCCCTCAGTTCCCTGAGGCCAGTCTTACAGTAGAGGAATGTTTACTGCCAGCTCTAGGGGCCATGTTTACCATTCCAACTCTGGGAAGTTTCTGGGTCCATGCTGCCACCAAGTAGCATGCCACCTGCTGCTCGTAAACACCATAGCAGGGCCTCTG